GATTTGAATTGTGAGCCGCCCTGAGTCCCCTTCAGGGGAAAAGGGCAGCATATAAATATAATAAAATCAATCAATCAATCAATATTCCTATTGGGCATACTAGGTGATAAAATGTGTAAAAAATTCCAATATATAATATTGCATATATTAACTGCAACAAGAATAGTATTCACTCAAAATTGCAAACAGAATAATATGCCTTCAGATGCAATGATAATAAGAAAGGTACTTGAGTGTGCAGAGATGGATACGTTGACCATGGAACTGAAGGATATGAAGAATCGGAGTATTATAAAGTGTGGAGTAGATGGTATAAATGGTTGGACGATAGACGCAAGATACTGTATAAGAATTAAGTATTATCTACAACAAATATGATAACACTGTATATATCTGTAAATATTACTATTTATTCTAAGTATATATCTGTAAATATTACTATATTCTAAGTGACTATATAACATAGAGTATATTAGAGAATATAGAAATAGAGCTTATGTAAATATGAATGACATTAATGATACTGATACAGAATCGCTGTAATGAGTGGAAATTTGTGTTTTGTTTTTTAACGTTTAAATAAGTTCAATAAAAATTATTTTATAAAAAAAAGTGTTAGATCCTGTGTGTCCTTTCACCTCCTTGCATTTTGTTTCTCTCTGTCTTATTCTGAAGTTATGTGCCACCTGTTTCACCAGTCCAGCTGAGTTGTACTTCCTTGGACAAGTCTTTTTTTCAGTTTCAGTATTCCCCTTTGGTCATATAGGAAAAGGAATATCTCTAAATGCATCCTAAATATTTAATTTCCCAATAGCATACTACACATATATTTTCATTTCATTTTTTTTTCATTTTCCCTTTATTTGTATGCCGCCCTTTTCCCTGGGGGGACTCAGGGCGGCTCACAGCTCAAAAAGGGGGGGGGGGAAGGACAAACAATTACCAACATAAAGACAATACATCATTTAAAAACACAACAGTCACACAATTCAAGTGGGGTTAGAATCTTAACCCCAGGCCAGCCGGGACAGCCAGATATTTAGGGCGGTGCAGAAGGACTGGAGGGTGGTGAGG